ACAGTCGCTAGCGCAAGACTGCCTCCGCTAGCACCGCAGGCCTTGTTGCAATAATTTTTTTAGGTAAAGTCGCTAAAGGTAGGTCGTTTGTTGTTAAACGACGTGATGACATTATGGATGTTGATGTCAGTAAATTACATTATTTTTGTATTTTTGCAATGTCTTACTGTAGGTAATTTGTTTATGGCATATGACGATATTTAAAATGACCATGGTGTTGAAATAAACTTTTAATTTCTACTTAACTGTGCAACCAAGAAAAGAAAATGACTTTATTATTTAAAGAAATTATTTACACAATAGTTCACAATAGTTCTGTCTTCCTCTCTCCATGTCAGTCAAACCAAGTATGATTTTTTTTCCTTCAGGTAAACACAAAAGAATGTTTAGCAGAACGTCCAGACTGCTTTTCCATACAATGACAGTTTATGTTTACCATGGTCTTGTCAAGCTCCAAAAAGAGTATATTTCACGTCTTCTGAAGGTATATGATAGTGTATGAAAAAAGTATGTGGTGAGTAGATGACAGTAATTTTTTGGTGAACAATCCTTTCAAGTAATCCTTGATTGGCTATGGCACAGAATGGAAGATATATAATTTATTCAATTCATTGTTTTCAAATTAGCATTCCATTATTTAATATAACGGCAGATGTTTTTTGTTTTGCCATTGTTTATTCACAAAATACCATAAAAATGATTTGCTATTACCACATTAAATAGAACATAAATAGTCTTCAAAATGCTGCTTTTTATTTTAAATTTTATAGTTTTATAAAATGATATCTTATCATTTTATATTTAGATAAAGATGGAGTTTTGATACCAGAGTATATTATTTTTGTCTCACTCACTGTTGCACATTATTATTATTCTTTAGTTTGGGTTAAACAAATCAATTTTGCTTGGTTGGAACAGCAGCTACGCTAATTATGTCTCTATTTGTTTCTCTGTTTTTGCCACGGGGATTTACACAAGCTTCAGTCTGGATCCAGAACACCTGAGAAGAGATGATGCCAACCCCTCAGATGATGCCAACCCTGAAACTACATACAGAACTACCACATTTTGCTATTTTGCACATTTAATTATTTTATAATTGCTGTTAATAGTGTTCATCGTCTTTTTTATTACGTCTTAAATTGATTTTTCCATACATTTCTGCCATATGTACATTAATTGACAGTCACCACTGATAAGCTACCACTAAATATTGTAGAAACTTAATTTGCTGTAAAGTTGCTTTGCAATGATTTGTATCGTGAAAAGCGCTGTACAAATAAACTTGACTTGACTTGACTTGACGTAACAGTCGCTAGCGCAAGACTGCCTCCGCTAGCACCGCAGGCCTTGTTGCAATAATTTTTTTAGGTAAAGTCGCTAAAGGTAGGTCGTTTGTTGTTAAACGACGTGATGACATTATGGATGTTGATGTCATTTTTGTAACCAAGACGCAAAACTGCATAGAACACGCAATAAAATTACTCAAATTTTCTGTATTAATTTTCACTAGCTTTTTACCTGTATTTTAAATTACACATTGTACTCAGATAGACAGATAAGATGAAAAAGATTTGATTTTAGTGAAAGTAAGTTAAACAGTGTACAATTATAAGTGCAAACTAACAACTAAGGGGTATCATAAAGAAACTATTATTATTATTATTATTATTATTGAATAAGTACAACTAGCAACCTAATTAGCATGCGTCGTGCATACTGCTAGGCACCTCTCTCCAAGTCTCTACCAGCTGATGTGGCGTGAGGCTGCCTCTGCTAGCTGTGCAGACTGCACAGGCTCTACAGGATGTCACAAACCCCACTCCCTTCCCGTGGCCTACAGCAGCTGAAGGAAGCGTGGATACTGCCGCTGCAGTGCCTTGCTTAATTTGATACTGTCACAGCAGTGCCCGCTCCATTTGATACTGCTGCTGCAATGCCCTGCTTAATTTGATACTGCCGCTGCAGTGCCCTGCTTAATTTGATACTGCCACTGCAATGCCCTGCTTAATTTGATACTGCCGCTGCAATGCCCTGCTTAATTTCATCCCGCCTCCACCCCAACACCTCACTACTAATCTAATTTCATCCCATTCTTGGGATTCTGGACAGCACGCCAAATATGCTACTAATTGCTTAATCACATTATATGTTAGTGCGAACTCGTGAATAGAGGTATGTTTGTTCCCACCAATCGCTGCATAAGTGAAGGTTACGAATGATGACAAAATTATGAAGATTGCATTAAATTGACTGCAGTTCGAAAAAAAAAAAAAAAAATCTTCGTATGGAAGTCTATAAGGACAGTCTGGGTGATTCTCAGCCAGAGTGAAATCGCCCAAACAGGGGCGGTACTCCACAGAACGTGACTCGACGCTGATTGTACTATATATCCAGAGGCAGAACAAAGAGTCAGGGGTCGGCAAACTTTTCGGCATGACGTGCCATTTTTTATTTTTCTGGTTAACCACTGTGCCAACAACCCCCCCTCTTTTTTAATGCATTTTGTATTTATACAGTACATACACATTTTTAAATGATATGATAAAAAACAATAGGCCTATTTGATTTTCATGCAAATAGTTTCTGAGGATTTTTTCATAAATTGTTTTTTTGAAACTTTTCAAAAGTTTCTTGAATAACAGATATACAGTGTGACCATACTGAACACCACTGTATGTGTGTGTGTGACAAGGCCAATGCATTAAAACCGTTCAGTTTAATCACCGTTCTATATTAATGCGCTGCACACACCACTCGCACAGAGATCTGAGATCGTGCTGTGCAAAAAGTAACATTCAGAAGCTCATAAATTGTTGGCAGCGCTGCCATGCGACTTTTATTAATCGATACTGAATCGCTACATTATATTTCTCAGCAATCGTTGTTTTTAAGTAAATAAACCCAGCTTCATTGTTTGTAGAGAGAAACACGGATGCAGACAATTTACACATCTCTCTCTCTCTCTCTCTCTCTCTCAAAATGGCCATAGTTTGCATCACTGAATATAGCTGTCGACACACACACCCATATATATATATATATATATATATATATATATATATTTTTATAGTGTTATATAT